CTTGGCCTTGGCCTTGGCCTCGGAGGCAAGTCCTTGGCCTTGGCCTTGGCCTCGGGTTGCCGGTCCTTGGACACAACACTGCTCCATATTTCCTCCCTTCGAATGCTCCATGCGCAAACTCTGCCAATGAGAGCACTACTGCCCCCTAATGTAGTAGAGGTGTAACTGCACTTCATTCGAGGACAGTTAAAAAAAAAATCAAAATAAAAAAAATAAAGCGTGCTCCCCCAGGTAAAACGCGCCCCCCATTGACGGGAGCTCGCCCGCCCCCAGTGTTTGAGAAACACTGGCTTATAGCCATTAGTATATATTATCAAGTCAAGTCAACTTTATTGTCAAATATGCTCTATCTGCAACATACAGCACAGATGAAATTTCTTTCCTCTCAACCACTGTGCAACCAACAGAACAGTTAACATAAAATAACAAAATAATACAATACAACACATAAGACACAGACAGTTGTGCAATCTTAACCACTTTTACTGCATTCACTTTGTTGTTTGAAGCAGTTATAGATGAAAGAGGAGAGAATCTGAGTTTTATTTTCAAATAAATTGATTTTATATCACGCTAATGCATTTTCAGTTATTCTCTAAAAATGTATACAGCGCACATTGACTGCTCACCAACGCTCATTTTATTTTGAAGTCCCATTAAACAGACGTGTATGAAATGCAAACACAAAGGAGCCAACGTATTTTTTGCACAAATGCAGATAATCAATCTAAATAAGAGACATAAAAATGTTTCTCACAGAAATTGGTGAAAAAAATAAAATGAAAAGATGCGCTCTACTGTAATGTAATTTTGAGAACATTTTGTTGTGCAGATTTTAAAAGGCAAAACCAGAACTCCCGACTGTATTGTGAAAGCAAATCACATTTGTCATATTATAAGCATCCAGTAGACTATATCCGTCCATTTTCTGAATCACTTATCCTCAATATTAATACAGTAAACATTCTCTAGTACAGACTCGTGTTTGCGCTGTCCAATCTGTCCTGATAACAGAAATTCCTCATTTGGGAAATGAGCATGGTACATGTCCTTTATGAACCTGCAAGTATGTTGACAAAATACACGTGTAACAACACAATCAATAAAATGCAAAAATATACTGTCCAAAAACTGTTTACAGTAATCCCTCGTTTATCGCGGTTAATGGGGACCAAAACCACCCGTGATAAACGAACACACACACACACACACACACACACACACACACACACACACACACAGGCCAGCGATCGCGTGGGCGTGCTGCAGACATGTTTATGATTAGTCAATTAAGGTTGTTTAGACAATTAAGGATGGAGAGACCTGCTTTTGTTCTTATAAGTCTCTCTCTCTCTCTCTCTCTCTCTCTCTCTCTCTCTCTCTCTCTCTCTCTCTAGATAGATATGATATATCTATATATCGATATCTATATCTATCTATATCTATATCTATCTATATCTATATATATATACACACATATATATATAAACTCTCTCACTCTCTCTCTCTCTCTCTCTCTCGCTGTCTTTTTCTCAGCAACACACATACACTCACCTGCCCGCCCATGTGTGCACGCACACACACACGTGCTCCTCATGGACCTTCCACGCTTGAGCAGAGTGCGCACACAGTAGCACGCATAGTAAACAACACTTAGACACTGATTTTTGCGGACTTCAAAAAAAATTTTTATTTTATTTTTTATGATTGTTTGAAAAAATCCGAGATGCACCAAAGCCGTGATAAATGAACCGCGAAATAGCAGGGATCACTGTATATAACAAAAACCGCAATACAGGTGTATCCCAAAAAAATCACAACAGTACAATACGTACAGTATTTTAATGTTTATTTTTTTCTGTCTTGGGAAAAAATGTGTCTATTTTGGATTGTTTTGTTGGATACATTCTTTTGTTTACGACAATGTTTGCCTGCGTGTCATACAGTTTTCTTGCTTGTTGCAAGTAACTGTCCAGTTGATCACCGATGTCTGGTGATTCTTGTACATACTGAAGGATTTTTGTTGCCATTTGCATTGCTTCCTTGCTGGATGGTGGTTTGTCATCAGGAGTTGAATCGATGCCTTGTTTTTTGAAGTTTCGTAGATTTGCGTCTTTCCGACTCCAAGTGTCTCCTGGATGCTTTTTACTTTGTGTCCAGCCTCGCTCAAACAGATGCATTTCACTCGCTCCGCTACAGTCATTACAGTTCTGCTGCGTTTCGATGTCATGATCTACACGACGTAAGTGAATAAAGTTAAAATCTTTCGCAATTACAGTAAAACGCACGCCAATAAAAAGTCACTTCCACGTCATCGTTTCGAATCTGATGAATGAAAACAGCGAAGCGAACACGTTTCTTCTGTCGTGTCGAGTGGGTGCTGCTTTTTAAGCTAGTGCCGCGATCTACGGGACATAAGTGAATAAAGTTAAAATCTTTCGCAATTTGAGTAAAACGCACGCCAATAAAAAGTCACTTACACGTCGTCGTTTCGGATCTGATGATAGAAAAAGGCAAAGTGAGAACGTGTCTTCCGTCGTGTCTTTCCGTCGCATCGGGTGGGCGTTGCGTGTATTTAAGCTGCCGCGGCCATCCGGGTTACGGCTCGTGGAATTTCCGCTTACGTAAGTTCCGATAACGTGTAATATCGTAGTCAAAATGTTAATGCATTTTTATTCCGGGTGAAGGAAATTCCTTTTCATAGAATTCCGGGGATGGGAATGTTTACTGTATACTAATCTTCTCGGCTACTCCTCCCGGTTGACGTACTGTTTCACGTTGTGTATAACATTGTTTTATAATCATTTTCTCTCCAGACACTTATTAAAGTTGGATATGCTCCGCATTCGCGCAGTTACAGCGAGACGTCTGTGGTTTACTCAGTTACTTAAGCATTTTTAATTCTGGTCTTTCACAATGACATGACATGGCATTAGCTTGGCAATTGGAATGGCTTCTCTGGCTTTCCCTCTGTTAATCACACCTCGTAATACCTTCGTGAGAATGAGGCTTGGAAGAAGTGTAGCTTATCTCCTGCCATTGGAGGTGAGATGACGGAGGCTTTGACTACTGAACTGCAACGTGTTTAGCAGGCAGTAGTAACCAGACCAAGCTCGTTGCTAACATTGCTGTCACGAGCTGCAGCGGCGTCTCGCCTTAATCCTGCCGACTTCCCGCCTGTAGATGACATAAGCATCCCAGTGAGTCGTTGCGGGACGGTCTGCACCATTCAGTTATCACGGGGCCGGAGGGGAACTGTGATTCTCACTTTTGCTATTCTTTGTGTTTTGTGAGTCTTACAATAAAAAAAACGTCTGTGCTTGTATTGTTTGAAGACATACCCAGCATGCCTTGAGGGCATAAAAAAATGTAAATGGTTATTAAAAATTACAGGTTTGTTGTTGGTAGTGTATTCTTTCCCAGTAGTATTTATTTGCATTGACCCAACTTATTAATTTTCCATTGACTCTTAGGTTGAATTTTGCACTGTAGGTTTGTTATGCACGGTGACGTACGGTGTTATGATTCACGTCTCTGTATCGTTGTTCAATGTGCCACTTGGTGGCAGCCGTGCGGCGTAAGATTGGTAAGTGAAAGCATTGGCGTCAAAATCAAGCTGCATTTGACATATTAATCGCATGCAATTTGCTGCAGGTGACAAATGACGATGGACGCAATAAAATCTTTTCTACATCGTCTTCGCGATACAGTAAATATTCTCTAGTGCGGACTCGTGTTTGCGCTGTCCAATTTGTCCTGATAACAGAAATTCCTCATTTGGGAAATGAGCATGGTACATGTCCTTTATGAACCTGCAAGTATGTTGACAAAATGCACGGCTGGACAAGGCTTGAACCTGCAAGTATGGTGACAAAATGCACGTGTAACGACACAAGCAATAAAATGTAAAAATATACTGTCCAAAAACTCTTTATATAACAAAAACTGCAGTACAGTATACCGTACAGGTGTAGAGTATCAACAAATCACACCAACACAGTACAGTACAGTATTTTAATGGTGATTTTTTTCCGTCTTGGGAAAAAATGAGTCTATTTTGGGTTGTTTTGTTCGATTCATTCTTTGGTGTATGAAAATGTTTGCCTGCGTATCATACAGTTTTGTTGCTAGTTGCAAGTAACTGTCCCGTTGATGATCACTGATGTCTGGTGATTCTTGTGCAGCAATCAGGTTTAAAATCTTTCGCAATTACAGTAAAACGCACACCAATAAAAAGTCACTTACACGTCATCGTTTTGAATCTGATGAATGAAAACGGCGAAGCGAACATGTTTCTTCTGTCATGTCGAGTGGGTGCTGCTTTTAAGCTAGTGCCGCGTTCTACAGGACGTTAAGTGAATAAAGTTAAAATCATTCACAATTACAGTAAAACGCACGCCAATAAAAACTCACTTACACGTCGTCGTTTTAAATCTGATGATCGAAAAATGCGAAGTCAAAATGTGTCTCGGTGTCATCTTTCCGTAGCATCGGGTGGGCGTTGCGTTTATTTCAGCTCCCGCGGCATGACGTCTCAATCCGGGTTACGGGTAGTGGAATTTCCGCTTACGTAAGTTCCGGTAACATGTAATATCGTAGTCAAAACGTTAATGCACAGGCTTTTGTTCCGGGTGAAGGATATTCCTTTTCATAGAATTCAGGGGATGGGAATATTTACTGTATATGTCGTCAAATTGCCCAGCTGGAGTTTTCAGTAGTCTCCTATACTATCCATTACAATGTGATTGCTTGAACAGTGTAAAGTTTGTGAAATCTTTTTAGAACCTAATCCTGCTTTCAACGTCTTCACAACAGTATCTCGGACCTGGCTGGAGTGTTCCTTGGGTTCCATGATGCTCTTTGCGCTTTAAACAGCCCGCCGAGCCTATCACAGAGCAGGTGCATTTATCCTGAGACTGATTACACACAGGTGGACTGTATTTATTAGCAATGGTGAGATGAAGCCCCATGAACCACCGAAACTTTCAGCCATCTGTGTGATTCATTTACTCGACGGCGCAAGCAAGAGTTCACTAAAATGTACTACAGTCTCGTTTCCCCCGACAAAACAAGTGATGAAACTGTATTCGACATAGTTATGTGCTTGTTACTTTGTATTAGTGCTTGTAAATGCTGTAGATAAGGAGGATTAAAACATTTGTTCCATTGGTTTTTATAATTAAAAAAAAAAAGTTCTGGTTTTTGGGTTGGGATTTCTCCTGTCACGGGGCACAGATGATGCTGGTGTAGAAAAAGTACACGAGGGCCACTTTGAATGAATTAGGGAAACTATGTTTTTGTCGTTGCCAGTACTTCGGTGGATTTTCGTGTTTGTCAATGTTTGGTTCTGCCAAGTATTTCTGAACTTCAGTTGTAGCATTCACTGTCACAGATATTGATGGGGTTTCTTACAGAACTCCCAAACTGGGGAATACTTCTTTTTTGCTCGTTCCATTGTTCCAACTTGCACATATTTCCAGTGGAGTGAACACAACACAAGCAGTGAGGTGGATTTAACATGTTGTTTTGCACTTTTTTTGTGGTTCAAATGACACGCGGCCTAACCGCTAAACCAGATATCCACTTCCTGAATCCTTCACAAGGTACGGTGCTTGAGGAAGGTTTGAAGGTCATTGCTTAAATCACCGATCCATGCTCTGCTTTGTGGCTGCACACCACACACTTTGAAGTCTGTGTTCATTTTTCCCATCACCACTATTTATCATTATCAGTCATTTAGCTCAACATTGAATCATTCAAAAATACTCTAAACTTCTGCAGTGAGATGGCTGCACTGACCCGAATAATATTGCACGCCCCACTTTTCATTTTTTTTTCCTAAAAAAAATAGAAAAAGAAAAGTTTAAAATATGTGCATTTTGTTCCACTTCATGATTGTGCCCCCATTGGTATTGATCATTCAAAAATATTTTATATCTTTATGTTTGAAGCCTGAAATGTGGCAAAAGGTCAAAAGGTTCTAGTGGGCAGAGTACTGTACAAGTACCACTGTATTTAGGAATTACGGGGGGGAGTAAAAAACTGATTTTCGGCAGTACTGATGGAAACAGGTCAAGCACAAGCTGCTGATTGATTTCGAACATGGGTCATGTTTGCAAATTAATGAGCTCTGCCTCTGCAAAAACACACACACACACACACACACTCTGAGTAGTGCACGGGCGCCAAAGTGAATTTCCAAACCAAATGTTAATGGTCTTGTTTTTTGTAAACCAGAATTTCCGTTTAAAAAAAAAAAGTTTCTTGGCTGGTTCAATTTACAAGGGAAAAAACCCCACACAAAGCAAGGTAAAAAACTGCAATAGATGAAGTTATAATCAGAAATGAAAACTTAGAGTGAAGTTGCAATAACGGAACCACAATCTTGTGATGCATTCTGTAATGATTTTATTTTTCTCTCGTCCCAATTCCAGTACGTGCTAAGGATGGCTAGTTGTGGGGAAGTAGACCACTCTGTTAGCTCACTTCCCCCAAGTAAGAAAGGCGGCGGCGGCAGCAACAGCAGCAGCAATGGTGCCGCTGGTAGCGGGAGCAGTGCCGAAACATCGTGTCCTGGCTCCAACAACACGTCCCCAGCGCTCTCTGTACCCGAGTGTGCCATCTGTCTGCAGAGCTGCGTCCACCCAGTGCAACTCCCATGCCACCACGTCTTCTGTTTCCTGTGTGTAAAGGGGGCATCCTGGCAGAGCAAGCGCTGTGCTCTCTGCAGACAGGAAGTGCCGGATGACTTCTTGGAAAGGCCCACACTTCTCTCTCCGGAGGAGCTGAAAGCGTCCGCGGGAGGTCGGGGCGGGGAAGTGAGTGATCACGCCTGGTATTACGAGGGCCGCAATGGTTGGTGGCAATATGATGTACGAACCAGCCGGGAGCTGGAGGACGCTTTCTCCAAGGGCAAGAAGACGGCGGAGATGCTCATCGCCGGGTTTTTGTATGTAGCCGACTTGGAGAACATGGTGCAGTACAGGCGTAATGAACACGGACGTCGGCGCAAAATGAAGCGGGATGTTTTGGATATTCCTAAGAAGGGAGTGGCTGGGCTGCGTTTGGACACCGAGGCCGTCACGGGGGCAATTGGGGCAGCGGGTCGAGAAAACTCTGCTGATGGAGCCGATACCACAGCAGCTGGTGTGCAACAGCAGGGCGCGGTCCTCCCTTCCACGACATCAGCCCCTCTGCCCAATGCAAGACCTCCGACTAACTTGGGCGGTCAACCTGGCGGCAGCAGCCCCGCGCTGGAGGACGCTCTCTCACAACTCCAACTCAGCCACAGGCCCACTCCATTTCACGAGCGATCTGGGGCAGGTGAAGGAGAGGAAGAAGACGAAGAGGACGAGGCTTCACCCTCCAGGTCCTCTGACCCTCACACCTCCGTGGACGAATCCGGCTCTGGAGACTGGAGCGATGACGAGCAAGAAGATCACGATGAAGGGGAAGGAGGAGGCAATGGTGAGCATGAGGAGCCATGGGAGGATTGGCCGCAGAGGCAAAGACTGAACCCCGAGGACAGAGCCCTCCCTGGTGCAGAGTCCATTTCCCCCCTTTCATCATCTACGAGCGGAAGGTCCCGAATGGCGGATGGCCAGTGTGCAGTGACTGAAGTGTGAAGTTTGTCCGAAATCAAGTCACCGTTTGGTTCCATTAATTTATTCTCTTTTTTGTGCTCTCATTCATTCGTTCACTACTCACAAACTGATTATGTGCTCGAGCAGCTCCGACAGGCTGCTTATTTTAAGTCAGGAGCTCCTTTCGTGTCATTTGACGATCTGTGACATGTCTTGAGAGCGAGTGAGAATGGGGTCGTTTGGAACTGCGTCATTCTCACCGTGAATAGCCACATTCTAATCATCGTTAACTCTCTCAGATAACATGACACACATGGAATTCAACATGTGACTGTTGACTAACACCCAACCTCCCGGATAAGTTTGCTTTCAGAATTAGCAAATTGTGAATTTTCAGTGCACTTGTGTATGTGAAATCATCTTGAGGCGGTCTGTGTCTTTTCTCTATCGCTCATGAGGCACCAAGTTCAAATGTGTGATCTGACAACAGTAAAGTCTCCTGATCTTACTCGCCGTTGAGTTTTGATTTCAGCATTTGACCTCTTAACTGCTGCTGTTGCTGCAAAAAAATATATTTACACACATTTCGCACTAAAATTGTTCAAACTCTTGAAGTCATTGGAACTTTAATGTTAAGCATTAGTGTTGTACATTTATAAGTTGGCTACAACCCGAGTATCCTCACTGATGTGTTGCTAAAATAGAAGGTTAAACTGGTGCATGTTTGAAGAGTTATTTTAACGCGACGTGTGACAAGATGCTCTTGATATTTTGGGTTTGGTGTGGCTAAATGTCCTTTGGTTTTGACATTGGTTTTAAATCCAATGAGGCAGTAAATACATCAAGCCGTTCCGAATCAAAAAGTTTGAAGTTACTCTACGAGCTTAATCTCCTCAGTTGTTACCACTTTAAATGGATTTTTTTTTTGTAACAATTTTCGCTTGGAAATTTTTTTTACTTGGGTTTGTGAATTTAATAAATGGTCATTTCATCATCACGTGGTCTTTCTTTTTGCCCTACTATTATGTGTGACTTGCAATTGTTTTCCTTTACAACACTGGTGTCAAAGTCAAGGCCCGGGGGCCAGATCCGGCCCCCATGTCATTTTATGTGGCCCGCGGGAGCAAATCATGTGTGTTGACTATCATGATTCTTGCTGAAATATGTACCGAAATGTCAAATTGTCATGGGTAATAACATTGAGATTTTGCACCGGCCCTCCGAGGGAAGCCGTAACTCCGAAGTGGCCTGCGACAAAAAATGAGTTTGACACCCCTGCTTTACAACAATAAATTTCGACTAACAGATGACATTTGTCACAAAAGCATCCCTTTTTGAATCCCAAATAAGCTTACAAAATAAGTATTCTTAGTGTGGTGAATGTTCACCGTGTCTTTAATAAAACCAAAGCAACTAAATTTACAAGGTCAAGGATCAGATGAGAAAATAAAAATGAAAACACGGCAAAAAAGATGTACGTGATTTTTTTTTCCATAATGAAGCGTGACACCCTACTATTGTAAACAGTGTCAATGAAACACGCTCAGAACAATTTCAGGTTACATGACAAATGACAGACTAGTTTCAGACCAGTTTCTCTCGGTGGGTTAACATCATCCTAGTTGTTAAAATGCACTGCAGCAAGGTTTTATTCATTCCAAGTTTGACCGACACAGTTTCCACTGTTGGGTTTATTGCAATGATTCAAGTCTTTTGCATTTGACTGGTCAATATGATGTGCTCATTTGTGTTTCGACTTGCTGGTAAGTGCCTGCAGGTTGGATGGACCACCCCAAACAGTACCAAACACCTCCCTCTCAGTCCTCAGAGCCTCCGTTAGAGGGAGCTCTCGCCCTGACAAGGTGACCTTTTTAATAGCCTGGATAACTGCTGGTGGCCCTTTCGTGTAGTGACTGAGCCACTTCTCAGCCTGCTGTCGGACAGTCCCCACACCTTCCTCGACCAGGGGGTCTTTGAGAGCTCCGTCTGCCAGCCGAATATGAAGGCCAAGTTCAGGATCCACTTTTGAAGCACTGCAGAGCAACTTGAGGCAATTCTGGCTTCCGACAAGATAGACGAGTCGAGCAGCTCCGCCCCAGCCTGGGACCACACCCATGTGTTTGTGGACAAACTGGATCACACTGCCAGGTGCCATTAATCTGAAAAACAAGTATTAGACACAAATGATTTTATGAGCAAGATTGGGTTATCCTGTTTGATGAAAAGGTACACAAAATTCAAGCATATCTCCTCTTTCAATCCAGGTTCGCAAGAGCCCAAGCATACAGTAAGTCTCGGAAAGACTTATCTTGTGAGCAGTGTGTTTCAGGGTTATTGTTCCTCCCAAAACTGCTTGGCAAACAGTTGAAGCTGACAGTTGAAAGTAACCATGCCAAATAGAGGGACAACTGCTTGTGTTGAGCGTTTTTCTAACGTGTCATTTACCACAATAAAATCACAAGGAGAGGAGTTAACGATTAGAATGTACTTAGCATGTAAGCTAACTAATAGTCCAACTTCTTTTTCTTTGTATTTTCCAGTCTTCTGTGGCACGACCCTCAGTTGGTGTAAGACACTCGCAATCGGGATATTTCGCGTGCGTGTGTGTGTGTTGTGCTGTGTTAGACGCCTCGAGTACATCACATACTTTGACGAGGAGGAAGCAACCATTTAACACTGTTTTTCCTTGTCATGTGTGGGGTCCCTAATATTTTAAAAAATATGGTTCAAAATTGGTGTGTGTGTACCTGAAATCACAGGCAGTGGTAAGTTCTGCGCCTCCACCCAGAGCTCTCCCTTCCACAAGGGCAACGGAGATCAGAGGCAGCCTGCACTGGGAACATCACATAGAGTATTGTGCTCCAAGTACATAAAACCGCATAAGATTTAATGATGCGGCATAAAAATGGCCCCTTGCCTGAGTAGTCTTGTCAGAACATTCTGCATAAACATACACATCTCCATGCCATCCTACAAGACAAAAGCAACATCACTTCAGGAGACAATAATTTACATTCACAATCAAATAACTAGTGGGAGTTTATCAAGAGCCCCTGTTACACAGTAGCAAACTATTTCCACATGAAAAGCAATACAGGTAATCTATTCTGGATGACCAAGCAGCTGAATAGGACACGTAAAAAATTTTACAAACAAAAATAAAAATGAATACGTGTTCAGAATAATTTTTCACACTTCCAAAAATTTGCTGACTTTGATCGCAAGAGAAGTACTCTGCTTAAGGGTGTATGCTTCAGAGCTGCAAACTTTTAGAGTCATACTTGGGGTTTGGATAATTGTTTGAAAGCATTGAGGTCCAATCCGGAACAGAACGTTCCCGCAGCACCCTGGAGTATGAGGCCTTTTCCATCGGCCCACTCTTCCAGGAGGCTCACCTTTTCCTCCAACTGCACCATCATGGTACCTGGGATAGAACAGCACAATTCCCAACCATTACTGAACTAAGGAACACATTTTACATTCGAAAAATCTCATGACACACCACCAAACCTATTTGTCAAAAAGAAAAAAAGGTAGATCCGCCGGTTTTAATGGTGTCATTTCTCAACTTAACTGAAAGAGCATTTAATCGTCTCTGCCTGTCACTATACGCTGCTGGCATGAATAGATGAATAGAGATTTGTAATTCATGATTTTGGACCAATGAAATGAAATGCGATACTTTCCCACAGCATACCAGTTGATCACTTATGGCACACTAATGTGCCAATGGCAGACTAGGTGGGATTTTCTAGTTTACATGTACGGTAATAGCAAAGAGAAAAGACATGTACAGAGAGTATATCCGGAGTGTTTTTTCATCAAACTTAACCGGTAAAGGCATTCATGTGGGATGGGTTGTTGATTTTGAGGACAGCAATGCCAGACTCCTGTTTGGAAAGATCAATGGAACCTCCAGGGAAGCCCAGCAGCTTGGCCTTTGTTTCCTCCTGGTCAAAATCCATCTCGGTGTAAACTCTGCCACCCATCTGTCTCTGCCACATCCTTGAGAATATATGGCATGTTAAGTCACATTAAACCAATATGCAGATATTTGTCTTCTGCATGGAATAACAAATGTCAATTGAAGACCACTCTGACAATGTCAAATTGAGCATCACTATTTTTGTCAAGGCATTTTTTGTTGTTGTAATTGCATCTCATTGACTTGACATTGAAGCTTTTGACATTAGAGTGTATTCGACAGAAAAAAAAAGTCTCTAAGGATACCTGGCCCAGCTGCCACACACATGGCTCTCCCTCAGGAAATGACGCCTCACTGCATGGATAACCATGATCCTTCAGCATGGACATGAAGCACAGGCATAATGTTTACATTTACATTGATGGATTTGGCCAAACGACCATGAAAAACAACAATTTCGTTGCTCTCTCTCTCTCTCTCTCTCTCTCTCTCTCTCTCTCTCTCTCTCTCTATATATATATATATATATATATATACTGTATATGTCGATTCGATTCACACTGTGAGTCGATTGGAAGAATTAAGTGATTTGATAATAATCAAGAGAAAGAAAAGCCGGACCCTCCCGATGTATGACTAATCTTCCTGCTGTAGACTGTAAATGTCCCCAGTGTGGGACAAATAAAGGATATCTCAATCTTAATATTGTCTCCAGTGAGCTACTTTTGTGTCATTTGATGGCTGTTACCATCACGTGCTGTGTTAAAGCTTGTGCTGTCACGTGAATGCGACATTTGCCTGACTCCGGGTCTAATGGGCGAAATAAATGCGAGTAAAAACACGGATGTGTGGATACTTAGAAACAGCGTTCAGGCGGTTAGCATCAATGATAAGAAAACATTGTCACACAGTGTGTTTGTATCAGGGACATAAAATGTTCTTTACTGTGAAACACATATTTTAAGTTGTTTTCTTTTTTAAGTTGTAGGGTGAGTCGATGTCGCGTGCGAACACCTTGGTATCTAACGATCTCACTTTTGCAGCGCAAGTGGACAAAACCAACCTTGAACGTTGAAATGAATCTCCGCCGAACAGCGAACAGGAAGTCTTCTCCTTTGATTTGAATGGCCCTTTGCAACCAGCAATCGGGCGCATCACCGCCACCTACCGAACTTGTGTGGATCAGCAGGGTTAGACTTTAAGCACCAAAGGACCAAGGGGGTTTGTTCGTCGACCCGTCGCAAGCAGTATGGGCAAGTGAATTTTCTCTGCTCCCAAATTTGGACTGAAAACTAGTGGGGCAATGTAGTTAGCAACGATTTGGGGCATTTCAACCACTGGATATTTGTTGTGTTTTTGTTTGTTTGTTTTGAATGGAATCTATTTTAACTTTGTCATTTGATACTACGTACAATGACCGCCCTCTGCAGAGACCCGACATTGAGGATTAATTAAGTTTTTAAACCTGTGACCCTCGAGGATAAGCGGGTCAGATCATGGATGGATGGATGACATTATACTCGGTGTGTGCAGTGACAGGGACGTGTGTGCTTACCTTCTTAGTTATTTCTTAACCGACTGCCGTTTAGGGAAACTAGAGCCAATGAAATATTTAGGCGTAAAAAAATAGACATACTGTTCCGCGAAAATGTGCATTGCAGCCGATCAACAAATAACATTGGTGTCCAGTAAATGAAAAAGAACGATAAGCACCAAGTTCGATATACTGTATTGTAGAAATAATATAGCTATTTTTAAGAAAAATATCATAACGTTAGCGCCACAATAGTAGGTTGTGATAGTCTCCTACAGAATGTAAAAGCAGAAGGGCCAGCCACAGGCGGAAGTGACGTCAGAGCCGACTCGCCAATGTGGCAGCAGTCGTGGTAAAATAATGCACTGTTGAACAAATAAATACTGTACTGCCATGCACGTTGGGCAACAATAAGACCTTAAATTAAACGAATATATAAACCGGTTACTTGACCCTTAAGAGAAAGCCAGAATATGAGAGAGAACCCAGGCACGTCATTTGAAAACATTTAAGCAAATTAGCTAACGTAGTTACAATGTCTGCACAGCGCACACCGTAACATATACTATGGTGCTTGACCTTCTCCTTGTTTATGTCTGGACGAGTGCATTGCAAACCCGCTCTGATTGATAACCAATTCTTCCAAACATCACAGAGGTGCAATCGAACACAGGTCCTGTCTCTGCATCATGAAGCCGTAGGAGTATTTATATCTATATCGCGTCACTACATCCAAGGGTAGGATTTCTGGCATCCGAAAATCCTTGCACCTGTTATTTGAGTTCATCTTGGATGCCAGGTTTCACACTATGCACGGGTTACTTTCTTTTTCCATTTGTCAAAACAAATGGCTAAATGTGTGACTATGCATGTCGATGCTGTCGCAGTTAACACACTAACACATCACTCGGGAAATATAGTCTAATAATAAGCTTGCAGTAAATTTGACGCGAAACGGATCAACGGCATTCATGCAGGAATTCTTCGATTAATTGCACAGAAGTGCAAAGTCACTACCTGTTTCCAAGCTCTGCATCCATGACTCAGAATTAGATATCTCAGTATTACCTGAGATGTCTGCCAACAAGATTGAAGAAGCCTTGCGGCCATTTGTCTCTTGAACTATATTGCGCTCCAACAGTCCTTTTGACAAAGAGTGATTCATTGAATGGATGTGTCTCGCTGTTCAGAAATGAAGGAATTTCACTAATGATAACTCTTCCTCATTCATGGCTGCATATTTTCCAAATCAACACATTTTACAGTCAAAATTCATTTCAGAGTGAAAAGACTCGTCCTGATCCGAGCATTCACAACTGTGGGCAAGCTAAAAAGGACGCAAATTTTTAAGTGTAGCTTTTCAGAAACAAGGTACAACAAAACAGGGGTATTCGTGACAAAATAGTAACAACTCTGATGCGTCACTTGAGAAACACCCCATGAGTAGATGTGACAAAGAGACTAATTGGATTTAAGACTCCTTTTCGTCCTTATTTTATTCCACACAATTAACAGCAAAGGCATCACTTTAATAGTGATGGGGCCAAATACTTTGTCCTGATATGTTACCATTGATTAGTATAAGTAGCAAAAGGCCTTGTCCTTATTCAGTAAGCATTACTATCCATGTTGCAGAGTAAATGAAGCAGTAACGTCAGATACAATACAACTTAAAGCAATGAGATGACCGCAAAATTTTCTACCCCCCAATTTTGCTGCTGTAGACTGTAAATTTCCCCAGTGTGGGACAAATAAAGGATATCTTATCTTAAAACTGCCATGAGAAACATCAGCTTTCAAACTGAAGTGAGAAAATCCTACTGACAAAGCCAGTCTTTGGTGCAAAGTTATAAAAGCAAACTCATATTTTATAAATACTAAAGAAATGAAATGTGGATTCAAGATATGATCCTCATAAAGTCAGCGCTGAATTTAAAACAAAATTGTAAGTCACAGGCAAGGTACAGTACATGTACGAAATTCTATTCAAAGCAAAAATTGACACTTTGATGCTGCTCATAGAGTATATGTGAATCGAACATGATTCTCTCTTGATGTCAAAACGCATTATGATGATGCATCACTTTCAGTTGTAAATTGTGTTTGTAGAATGAAGGTAAATAGTGACACGTGGTGAGTAGATTTACAAGGCTTCTCCAGTCAAGACTAGAATTTAGACCTGAGTGAAGTAAATCACAATATTTTCAACACGCCTCAAAAGCATTCGCAATGCTTGGCAGGTCAGTGTGAGCATGTTACAACACAACCGAAGCTATTTTGGAACATCTTCTAATTAATCCGCTTGGCTCCAGTGGGTTCATTTGGAAGCAGACTCACAACTATAACTATAAATGTGTGACAGAGGAGATCAGAACCACTATGTTACAATGGTGTTGAGGATAACAGCTTATGTTTAGCTTTCATCACCGGAGTACTGCTGTTGGTCAGATAGTGAGGTGAAGATCAAAGGAAGACAGCCTCGATGCGAAAGGTCTGCCAATGGTAGAAGTAGAAGGGGAAATGGGAGATATTTGAGGATGATAGTCAGACAGTGGTGATACAGGGAGATGCAGCAGCGGAAGAGGGTGAAGTCGGGGAGTGGCTGGCCCATCGGGAAGGCAGACGTCGATTGGCTTGACGTACAGGCTTTGAGAAGACATTCTGGGTGAAAGAGATGTGTGACTCCACTTCATCCTGTGGAGGAACACATGAATTAACATTAAAGACGATAACACCATTCTATCAATTATCAAATCTAGCTCTCAAGATACTTTACATGATATTATGTTTTCCATCTGTTGTCCTCTTGGACCTGGGGAAAACAAATAGTTCCAAACAGCATTAATACTTTGTCCTGTGAAAACAATATGACAAAAAACAATGCCCATTTCAGGGAAGTGCCGATGAAAGATCTGACATTTCCACGGTTCATGGTAAGTGCACACACAGCTCCTACCTGAGCCTTATGGCGGGTAGTCCCTATAATCCTAGGACCTACGTTGTCCAAGGTGTTATGCTCCTGGTCGGGCAGGGTAGGAGAGGGACCAGACAAATTACAGTTCATAGACCTTCTATAATGAATCAAATGTCCCCTCACCCGAACACTGGTCATGAGGGCCCCCTCCGGAGCCAGACCCGTGGGTAGGGCTCGATGGTGAGCGCAAAGTGGCACCCATACGGCACAGCCTGAAGACAAAACTTGGGTCCCACTCCCCATATGCTCACCACCTGTGAGAGGTGCATAGAGAGCTCGGTGGTGGCTGAATGAGGGAGCCTTTGTGGTCCAGTCCCCGGCTTCAAAAGCTGGCTTTAGGGACATGGAATGTAACCTCTTGATAGGAATGGAGCCGGACTTGGTGTGTGAGGCTGAGAAGTTCCATTGAGACATATTGTAGTCCTCTGGAGCAGGTTGGGCCTGTCTTCCATTCTGGAGCTGTCCTCGAGAAAGGCAACGAGCAAGCATGGGTATACCAATTGCACACCGTTTCCATGCTGGTGTATTTGGGTTTACCTAGGTGGACCAGAGTGCAGCCTCCCTCCGCCTTTGGAAATTGTGCAATTAGATGGGTCCTGACTGTTGTATGTCCCTATGCAGCAAACTGCAGTCCAGAGTACCCACACTTTTTGGAGTCCTTGCTGGGGGTGCTATAAAGTGCTCCAGCTGGGGACTCCATTAATCTGAGACTTCAATGTTCACGTGGACAATGACAGTCAAGTCCTGGAGGGGCGTAATTGGGGAAAAAACGCATCCCCCAATCAAAAGCCAAGATGTGTTTTGTTATTGGACTTCTGTGCTCGTTGTGGATTGTCTATAATGAACAGCATGTTCAGACATAAGGGTGTCCACATTTGCACTTGGCACCAGGGAATCCTAGGACACAGCTCAGTGATCGGCTTTGTGGTTGCGTTCTTAGACCTGCGGTCCTGCGGTTAGACCTACATGTCTTGGACACTTGGGTGAAGAGAGGCCTTCGTGATCTCTGATTGGCGACAATGACATATGTGTCTGTTGAGTGAAGCATTTAGAGTCAAGGAGACTCAGATTTACCCTTTGTCAACAATTCTGTTCATAATCTTTATGTACAGAATGTTTAGATGCAATCAAGTGTGTTGTCCAGGGAAGCCAAGAGAACGAGTATTATAAAAAATGCTGAGATTTATTTGAGAAAAAGCATGGAGGGACACCGTTCACAGATCTGTCAAGGGAACCTTCTCCCCCTCCACGTTTTGTACTCTCATTTTATCTTGTTGGGAGATGGTGAAGGTCAGCATTCAATTGTACGAACAGTTACTTCCATTTAGCGCTGTTATATGTCAAATTCACATTACACAAGTCATTGAGGGGGTCCTGTTTGGTGACCACAGTATTCCGTCACTACTTTCTGCAAATGATGTGGTTCTTTTTCTTGATTAAGATGGAATCTTCAACTTTCATTGGAGCTGTTTAAAATCAGGTGAAGCAGTTGGGATGAGAATCTGAAACCATTGTACTCAGTCAGAAAAAGTGGAGATTCCTCTACAGGTTGGAAATTAGATCATGCCCTAAGTACCTAAGATACTTGAACCCCTCGTTCAAGTATCTTAGGTTCTTGTTCATAAGTGAAGAATGAATGGAGCGGGAGATGGACAGACGAATCGGTGCACCATCTGTAGTGTTGCTGACTCTGTATCGGTCTGTTGTGGTGAAGAAGGAGCTAAGCGGAAGAGGATAGATTGAGGGATGCATAGACAGGAACATCATTTGATGTTTGTTATATGCATTGAGAACAAAAAAAAACTCTTATTTTAAAGAAATAGGTACAGTTAAGGTGAGACAGCTTCTCTCAGCTATCTCTTTGTCCACAAAAACACTTCCTTTTGTGAGGCTCAGTATAAGGACTTTACTCTGACAAATTCTTAAAAGTGAATGTATGATAGAGATTTTGTGAAAAAGGTATATTTATATGCTAAACCACGCATTCCATGTGCAGGGAGCCTTAAAGCAAGGAAATGCCCCATATTATAATGGATAATTTGGCCTGCTTCTGTTCATGTGGCACATATTGTACCAATAATAGACAACATTCCCTCCAGAGCGGACTGACTCATTGAGAGATCATTGACGACACACAACTGAGTAATCATTATCAAGCATCATGCAAGTCATTTGAGCAAGTTTTTGTCACACCCAAATGTAGATTATTTCATCGTAAACAAGGTTCTGAATGTTCAAATCTTAATTAAGATGTTAATGTGTGCATACCGCAAAGTTAAATTTGACCCACCTGCATTTGCTGCTGTATCTGTGCCACTCTGATGTTACTGTGGGTTTTGAGAGTGGTGCTTGTCTCTATACGTGACAGCTGTCGCAACGGAGGAGCTGTGGGATAAGGAGTCATGTCTCGCATGTTCAATCCGGTGCCATCATCTTGTTGAAGGCTGACGTTAGGACCCATAGCCTTCTCATCCTGTGGTTGTGACTTAGCTGCATTCTCATAGTGCTTGAGAATTCTTTCTAATGCTCCATAGTTGGACCGTGAACCTTCAGGGCGCGGGTACGCAGCGAGAGTGAGGGGCTTCCAGGGATGGTCTTTCAACTTTCGAGTTGCAGGTGTGGAGCAGTCCATCTGGGAGGGAGGCACAGATCCATGTCTTGGAAGTGTAATTTGTCTTGGTTTACTCTGATCTGAAAGCTCCTGGAGTGAGATGTCAACTCTAGCTGGCTGAATCTGAGCTCCTGAAGAAGTGTCCCTCTTATAGATTGCATCTTTCACACTCTGGCCTGAATAGATATTTGCAGACAATGCAGACTCAGAAAGGTGAGTGTCTGTGGGTGATCTGTTTTGCGTTTTTCTGGAAGGGTTTCTTGCTGTTTGAACATTTTGTTGTACCTCAGAAAGATGTGCAGGACTCTGAGAAGTTAGTGTGTTGGCCTCCCGGACTGCAGCATTTGATTGTTCAGTTATATTGATGGACGATGTGCAATTTTTTATTCTGGCCTCTTGGACTTTATGACTTCTTGGATTCAGTTTGTCCTTTGTGTTTTGAATGGGAAGATGTGAAGTGGGAGTGGAAAATGCAGTCTCAACATTTTCGTCCATGACACCAGTTGTGTCATCAGCGCAATGCCTGGGAAGTGAATGCTCCTCCGGCACACAGTCGGCTATCACGGCTGGTTGGCAACCCACAGAGTGGCCGCCTGCTTCTGTAACATATTCTTCCTCTACCCCATGGCCCATATCTGCCTGAAACAAAATTCTGTTAAACTCTGCTGTTTTTTTTTCCAACATGATGTTTCTCCTGGAGCCCTGTAGGTTGGGACTGGTTGATGATATTTCCAGGGAGGACATTAGCAAATCTGCGGGTAATTCCGTAACAACTGGAGACGTTTGTATTTGGTGGTTGTGCAAATTCCCAATACCAGCGCTGTAGGGTGAGCGGTCTTTTCTTGAAGTCAATATGTTGGCTTCAGAGAAACTCTTCTGGACAGTCCCACATCTGGACAACTGACTGCAAGTGAACTTGGTTGCATCACAAGACCAACGGTTGTGGCAGCAGCCAATGTTACAGTTTGAATTTTTCAGAATGGAACATGATGCTACCGCACCATCTATGAAAACCTTTCCTTCATTTTCTTTCAACATTGCTTCAAACTTTCTAACAATGGATGGACTGCCATACCTTTGGTCTATTGTAACACATGGGCTGTGGCACTTTGTCATTGTTGTTATGGGGGACTCGGGGATGTGGAGTTCTGTGTCTGTCTGAGAGGGGGAGCTCAGATTCCGGGGAAAATTGCGGGGAGGAACATGGGGGGCTTCTGTATCCACAGGAAAGAGTGCGACAGGACTTTTTTGTACATCTTTGCAGCTGTTAACAGAATTGTTTTCCCAGGAATCTTTTGACCCTCTGTTGGCCCGCCAGGTGTAATCTAGTGACAAGGTAATCCAGTTTTCCTTTTCCAATTCCTTAAGTTCCTTGTAGATATGGTTGAGGTCATATGTTGCATCATTCGACTTGAGTCCAGTGTGCTCCATCTCCGCGGGGATGTTTTCTTCTGAGAGGTACAATTCAGATTGACTTCTGAAACAAATTCAGGCATATATTACTACTCTATTACGTTCAATGTGTAAGAGAGATATGTAGAATGGTTGATTTACTGATTTATCACTGTTCAACTCAGATTTGTTTACAACAATAAGGCTTTAATACCTTTTATCCTCACTCTTCTTTGTTATCTCATCCTGGTAGCTACAGAGTTCCTCACTGACACGAGCTATCTCCTTCAGAGCCTGGAACAATAAGACAAACAGAAAGAGATCTTTGGATCTTTTACTCTCATTCTTTTAATGTTGTATTTTTATTCTGAGAAAGAGAAAGGATGTAAAAAATACCCAGACAATGGACCAAAAAATGTATATGTAATACTACCTATAGTACTCAAAATATGGACAAAAGTATTGAGACACATCTTAGCTCCTATCCATTTTCTGCAGCGCTTACTATTTAATCTTGAATCTTTATTTTTCCAAGACATTTTTAAACATCCTTCAAACTTTAAGGGAGCTTTCTGGGGATGGCCCTTTTCATTTTAAACACAAATATGCCCCAGTGCAGAATGCAAAATCCATAAATGGATGAGTATGGTGTGGAAGAATGTGAGAGGCCTGACCTCAACCCCATCCAACACCTTTGGAATGAAGTACAACGGAAATTGTGAGCCAACCCCCGTCAGTAACCAGGCCTCATCAATAACTTATCATACAGCCATTTATATTTTTCTTGACTCAGGGACTCTGAAATCGCTTTAAATGTCTTTTCAAGAGGAGGATGCTAGCTAAGTTAACATCTATGATGGACAGACCCTCCCACCCCCTCCAGGCCATCCTGACAGCACTGGGCAGCTCCTTCAGCCAGAGACTGATACGAGAGTGCTGCAAGAAGGAGAGGTACTGCCGCTTGTTCCTGCCGACTGCTGTCAGGCTATCGAATCAACGGTCCTGAAAACCTGGACTCACCCCCACTCACCGATTTTAAATAGCACAGCCACCTTATGCAGCATATGCTTATATATTCAGAGATGAAAGTGGACTTTTCTGAAAATTCCGGAATAAATAAATAAACAAATAAATGTGTGTGTGTGTGTGTGTGTGTGTGTGTGTGTGTGTGTGTGTGTGCGTGCGCGCGCGCGCACACACACACACACCCACGCACGCACCTGCC